CATTGGCTGTGAACAATGACCCCTTTATGTTTTTTCAAGGATGTGATTTAAGATTCAAATTGCCGACTGTGCTTTGCTTTTTAAAATCCCACATCTCTTTGGTCCATGAGAATCATGGCATCATAACTGGAAAGTCTGAGTCCAGGATGTGGATCAGTATCCAGCTGGATCCTGAATGAAAATCATACCTTTGTTCTGCAAACTGTGGGTGCATTTTTATTGTGATGGCCCACGTGCATGACCTAGGGGGTGAAAAAGCAACGGAAGAGCAAGTTGTGGAGATCTTTGGAAGGCCGTCAGAAACTGAAGGGAGTGACTTCTCCGTTTTGAGTAAATAGGTCACACAGAACTGGTTCATTCAAGATCAGTTATAAAAAACAAAAATTCCCAAGTGAAGTGACTGGTGAGATTTTTGTTTTGTTCTGTTTTGTTTTATCTGTGCAACGATGGAATTCTATTTGTAAAGAATCAGAACCCTTTCTCACAGGGTGAAGGCAATTAGACACAGACTTCCTGGGACTGTGCTCCCCTCCAACAAAATTTTCAGTCAACCAGCATCGAAACCACTGGTGTGGATCTTTCTAGGAGAATTGGAGTGTCGCATCCTGAAAGGTTCTCCCTTAGGGAAGTCTGAAACTCCCCCACTCAGAGAGGCCTTCCTTAAGCAAACAGTTCCAATCATTTAATTGACTAGACATGCCAGATTTCATGAAATCCCACGAATGGCTATTTCCATCCCTCCTCAGTGTTTTTCAGACTGTTTCCTACTCTGGGCTCTCCTCTGAGGCGGCTCCATGGCTGACTGGACTTGCGCATCTTATCTCTCTTTTGGCTGCCTCTTTTGACTGCCCCCTTGAATGTAAGCTGTTGATTAGGGAGGACATCTAGTTCGTAATACCAACCCTCTGGCTTGGCGTACGGTGGGGTTGTGGCAGGTCCTCAGTGGATACATATTTAATCAGCGGGTTATGAATGTCTCAACCCCTGCCCCTTAATCCTCGTGTTCCCATACTTAATTGTCCAGTTCGTACCAGGCAGTTGGAGACCCTCTGCTGTGACTCTATAGAATTCTCTGTACACCCTCAATCTCATTGAACAGTACTGTCTATTTCTCAAGGGTGATTACCATGTCATGGTCCTTTATGGATACATTGCCAAGCACAGTGCCTGGAATACAGCATTGCCTAATAAAATTTTGGCAGTTCACAGCGAAGCAAACCAGTGTTGTAGGTGAAGGAACAGAGTTTACGTTCACTGAAAAGGATAACAGTGTTATTAGGAGTTTAAAATTTCAGGATGTGCATCAGGGGTACATCTGAACCTCTTTAGCAACGACCTGTTCCATACTTAGAGTCTGGTTCCACTGGCCGGAAGCTGTGCTGTTTGGAATATGCCGGTAGGAATAATAACTGTACTTGAACGCAGAGCATTCCGGGTAGTTCATCTATGGCAAGGTCATCTGGAGTATAAATACTTACCAGAGAGAAGATACATGAAAAGCAAAAATGATAAGAAGTATATTCAAGATGACACTGTAATGAATATGATCCTTCAATGTGATATAATGGCAGAGAGATGGGAGTGACTTTGCAGAGATCCAAGCACTGGCTGAAAAGGACGGCCCATGGGATTGACACTGAATGCACAGGACCATATGGAAGTTCCAGAGTGACGTCAAAAATTTTGGAAATTGCAACAGATTTGAATTCGTTTTGCTACTGATATAAATCTCTACCTCTCTGCCTCTCTGTATCTCTCTCTCGCCCCTCTCTCTGTCTCTGTCTCTTTCTCTCTGTCTCTGCCTCTCTCTGATTGTAGAAATGTTTTTGAACCACTAAGAACCCATAAACACAGGACAAGAAAATGGAACTTGGCTATAATCCAAATTGACTGTGTAAATCCTGTTGCTTCTCCTACCCCCAGAGCTGCCAGGCAGTGCAGAAATACATAGTTTTAAATATTAGAACGATGCCTGGCACATGGTATCCACTCAATAAATGAATCTGCATCAAATTGGTTGTTGTCCTAATACCTCTCTGCTGGTCTCCTCTGTCCCAACGGCTTTGTAATCAATACAGAGGAGGGAAAATAGATACTGAAAATAGATAATCGTCGAGAAAACTTACGTTACAGTGATCTGACTCCAGTTTAAAAAAAAAAAAACTGGCAACAGATTACTTACATCTGTGAACCGTAGGATTTGGTGTGTGAACACGGTGTACATCGAATTTTTGATTTTCTGAGGGTAGATTTCAGGGTCGTTGAGGACATGCTGCTCCTTAGCCAACCAGAACGAAAACATATAAAATACCCCTTATGATAATGTGGAGGGAAAAGACAACACGTTTGAAGTTTAAAATTGTCGTTATTTGTGATTTGGTTTCTATAGTTTTCAGAGTCTTTGGGGCTGAATCAATAATTCACATTGTAGTGGGTTTTTGTACGTTGAGAAATATAACCTTTGTTTACAGACTTAAAAATGAGTGAAAGGATGCATTGCCAGAGAAATTGTGAACTACTGAGCTGGTGTTGAAAGTGTAAGTGGTCACTTTCTAACCCTGGTCAATTCCATGAGGAAGGAGCTATCGGCCATGTGGTTTTCTAAGTGTACCCTAAGAGGCAGAATGGAATATTCTGGTCACAGATTGGGACTGCAGACTTTAATATTACAGCGTGGAGTTAATCTTGGTCATGAGGAATGGGCGACTAAAGTACAATGTAGGTGAAGATTCCCGAGTACTGGAAGGAAGACATTTTAAACTCTCGTATAGGGTAGGTGACCCAATGTACTTGATGCCTCATTGTTTGGTGGTGCTCAAAAGTGGAGCAAAGACGGTGGTCATGGTTCCTAAGCCTTTGATGAAGGCTTGGACCAGGTTGGGGGAAGAGCATTGTATGTAAGGACAGAGTGAATCTTAGAAAGAAGCACGTGAAGGCGAACGTGCAGTGATCTGGAAGAATCAGTGGTAAAAAGCTGAGAAAATAATCCAGCTTCTTCAGGGTCCTAGGAAAGAATAACTTTACCTGCACAGGGGAAGGCTCCAGGAGAGACGGTGTTTCCAGAGAGACAGGTTTCCACTTCGGTTCTCTGGACATTTCCAGATGAGGAACGTTTACTTGAAATGGACTGTTCCAGAGGTCCAGTGGAAAGAAGAGTGTGTGGACATGAGGCTCCTGGGAGGCAGGCTGGTCAAGGGGCTTCAAAATTCAGGGCAGGCTTCATGGCATGTGCCTTGTACTTAGAAGGGCCCAAGCTTGCCTTCATGCTCTGCTGTCGCCATCTTTAAAGTCTTAGGAATATTTGAATAAAGGGCCCTCTATTTTCATTTTGCATAAATTATGTAGCTAGTCCTGCTTGGCAATTCAAGAAGGAGATGACAGTGACAGGAGGAGCTGGGGACTTGTCTCCAGGTGGGAATAACTGATGTTGTCTGAGTTCTGTTGAGGGTGACAGAGCGGGGCCTCAGCCATTTCTTATGGTTCCATAAAGTGTCCCCAGAAATTGCTAAACATGGTGAAAAACTACCTGAATTGGGAGGAAGATTTTCTAGCTTGATGAAAGTTCTTTCTAGGGAGAATGAAGTTTACTATACAGCAATAATACTGTAAGAACATTGTACCAGGAATATTCAGCCATCATCATCTTTGCAGACAAGTGTGATTAGAAGGTACTTATTGCTGTCAAATTATTATTCACGGTCCTCTGAAATGTGAATCTGAAACTTACGTCACTTGAGAGGGCGGGTATCACTTTAAACACGGTATCTAATAAACTATGTTTTAGACTGAAAGTTAAACCTTAGGTATCTTTGAATCATCACTGTGGATTTCTGACATGCAGGTTGAGGGCATCTTGACAGCAGGCACAGAAGGACGAGGTCACATCCGTTTTGATTATGCAGGGAGCTATCAAAACGAAAAAGAGAGAATAGGAATTACTTGCGTATGAATTTCCTAAAAGAAATTGGGTCCAGGCCCCCAGTTCTAAAATGGATGTGTTAGCTTTTATTCTCTGGTCCTCACCTTATCAGTCTTTGTACCCAAACCTGCAGTGAGTATGGATGGGGTCATGGTTCACATCATCAGGTGGGGACCACTTGTTATTGCTGCACATGACATGGAACATCAGATACACAAATATCTTAGTTCAAAACTGAAACTAATCCTTCAAAGTTCATGTGTTTGCCATTGCCCCAAGTGCTTCCATGTGTCCCCAAAGTGGCACCCCTCAGATGTTCTTCCTTATGGAACGTGCACCATGATTTTGCATTGTTCTTTTTGTACGTTCTTGAGAGTACCAGCGAATGAAGAAAGATATGGAGATTCTCCAATGACTGTGTTGTAATTGTGAACCACAATTCATGTATCTTTTTTTAAGTTGAAGTATAGTTGATGTACAATATTATATAAGTTATAGGTGTGCAGTATAGTGATTCATAGCTTTTAAAGGTTATACTCCCTTTATAGTTACTATAAAATATTGACAAAGTTCAAATCTTTTGTCTACTTTTTAAAATTGGGCTGTTTTCTAATGACTAATTATAAAGGTAATTAAATAATAACAAAAACACACATATATCTCTGTAGTACCCATCTCCTGTGCTGTCAGTCTGAGGAGTTATCAGTCAGTTTGAAGTTTTCCCACAACTCACTGAGGCTCCGTTCGTTTATTTCGTCATTTTTCTCTTTGTGTGTCATTTTGTATAATTTATATTACTGCCATGACTAATCTTGTCTTCTATAATATCTAGTCTATTTTTCTTTCCACTGTCCATGGATTCAATTTTCCTTTCAGTCTTACATATGCTTCTTTCCTTGTAGGTTAGTTAGGGAACATGAATACATTCTTCCCCAGTTTAGCTCCACCTCCCAAGTTCCAAAATTGGCATTGAAGTTGTCTACCTATGGAAAGGAAATTTGGATTAGGTTTATTCCAAATAAACCTATCATAGTTTGTTATCATAGTATACTTTCTTTTATTTCTTTTTTTCTTTTTTCAGTGTGCCCGGTATGATAATGTCTTCATTGCAGAGATCCTGATTGACAGAGGGGCCAATGTCAACCACCAGGACGAAGATTTTTGGACACCAATGCACATTGCCTGTGCATGTGATAACCCTGATGTTGTCCTACTGCTTGTATTAGTAAGTAAAGCAATTCAGTTTATTCCCATTTGAAGATTTGATGGCGTATAAAAGTCTGCATATTTAACCAATAATACTTCACAATATGTAATACTTCAGGTGAGAAAAAACAATGTGTGTATATGTCGTCACTTATTTGCCTGGAATTACAAGATAATTAGAGACTAAGGTTGTGGGTCACCACAGAGTTCATAAAACAAATTGTGTAGATGTCACACCAAGCTCTATTCCTCTTGCCTTTTTCTTGGAAATTATATGCCTTGATACCTCGCAAGTCAGAGCTAACTGAAATGGTTTGATAACTGTTGTTTTGTCTTTCAATTCATTTTCCTAATTTTTAGCCAAACTAGGTATATGATAGTAAGGCTATGTGGCTCATGTTGAATCTTCTCTCGTTTAGATCTAGCAAAGAAGTGTCTACAACTTTTGTTTACATGAAAGTGAAAACTCTAAGTATAAAAATCACTGGAGTTATTTGTTGTCATTGTCTTGAGTTATAGTTTAGACCCTGACATGGGTGCTCACACATACTATAATTATTTTAGAGTTGGGATTCTTTCTGGTTAGTTTATCTCTAACAAAGATTTTAAGAAATTACGCAGGATATTTTAGAAAGCATACTAGAATATAAGAGTAAGAATGAATGATTTGCTTTTTTTCCCTTTATTAATAAAAATTGCATAATTCCTTAATGATTTTCTATTATGTGCCTGGCTTTTCACATGAGCCCTCAGAATTTCACATACAAGCAAATTGGTGCTCAAAGATATTAAGCAACTTGCCATAGGGCAAAAAACAAACTATATCCCTGAACTTAAGGTCATTGTCCAAAGTCTGTCCTTTCTCCCCAGGGTCATGCTGCCTGTCTTAACAAATTACCACCTACTTGATAGCTAAATACAAGAGAACTTTATTCTCTCACATTTTGAAGGCCAGGAATCTGAAATCAACGTGTTGGCAAAGCTGTATGCCCTATGTCAGCTCTAGGGAAGAATTCTTCCTCGTTTCTTTCTAGCTCCTATGGATCCCTTGCAGTCCTTGGTGGTCCTTGGTTACAGATGCATCACTCCAGTCTTTGCCTCCATCATCACGTGACCCTCTTCCCTGTGTCTCTGTGTCCAAATACCCCTCTCTTTTCTTTATAAAAGGGTCCACCTTAACTCAATACAACCTTATCTTACCTTGATCTGCAAAGACCTTATTTCCATAGAAGATCACTCACAGATAGTAGCCTTAGGACTTGAACATACCTTTTTTTTAAAAAACACAATCCCACTACACTGCTTTCTTCCCCCTTTTTAAAATCCTAAGCAGAAGCCTTTTAGGATGAAGGCTATGAATGGAGATTTCCTTAATCTTGTAAGAGGTTTAATTTGGTCTAGTTTAGTCTAATTTGTCCCTCAAGGATTTGTAAAGTTTTTTTGTTTTTATAGTGGAAGTGTATATCACTGGAAATGTGTTCCTTTCAAATCCTGGAAGATGGCAGCTATAATAAATAAATAAGGAAAGGTAAAGGAAATAAAGACAATTTAGCTTGAAATAGAATCATTTGGGGAGCTAGGACTCTACAGGAAAACACATGAAAAAGTACTTAACTCATTTATAAGAACAAATCTTCACTTTATAGAAACTGAGCCTAGGAGGAATTAAACTAACAAGTCAGCACAAAGGCAGTGAGATCTACTTAGTATTTGCTTAATATTAAAGGGAAATTTAAAACACATCTCAGAAGGGAACTCTATGGTCTTTTGAGTGGTACTGTGAAATCATCAACTGTGAACTCTTGGGAATTCTCAGAACTCATAGGACACCAGGCTAGATCTTTTAAGAAGTGGCTTGGTTATAGTAGTTGTTTGAAACTTTTTTGGGGGGTAGTTCAACCACTGGATGACTTGGGCGAAGCTGGGCTATAATTATATGAGAATGAGATAGAAAAGTTAGATTCATAGCTTTTGTGGTTTTCCCATGTTCTTATTTTTTTTCCTGAATATTAGTTGAGAGATTCAGAATATTAGTTGAGAGTCACTTTTTCAAGGCCCGTCTCCATTTATTTTCTCTAAGTAATTATGACTAGTTACACCAAACCTTTGCCAAATTAGGCTTTCTATTTTCATTTCACTCATGCAGTTCTCAGGAACCAATATTCATGTGACTGAGCTTGAATTCTTAAAATCCTTTTTGCATTTCCTCAATGTACACCTGCTGGATGAAGACTTCCCCTTCTTGAGTTCAGAGACTTAATTTCACTGCCAGCCAAGATTTCCTTCCTTCACTATAGAATATCTGTTTCTTATTTCTGATGGAACAGAGTAAGAGGATCTACCTTCTTTGTAGAGTCTGAGCTGAGTCCTGGTCTAGGCATCTCATAGGATTCTTACAATTTAATATCACAGGGACAGCCAAGAGCAGGGCTCAGTACATGGCAGGCTCGTGATTTCAAGGTGCAGAAGCTATAACTACTTGCAGATGACTCCCCTTCAGCATATAGGGACTGTTGCCGGGAGTAGCATGGGTATCAGAAATACCACTGACAGACTGGAAGTAGCAAGTAACTTGGACCACCCAGAGGGCAGGAATGAAGCATGTTTACAACCAGAGCTGGGATTAGGGCAGCCCATGAGGACTGGTACCTGGGGTGTCAATATATGAGTTACACTATAATTATAGAAATAAGTTAGACCTATAGTGGCAAATTACTTAGGTCTTCCTTGTGACTCTTTGCATAACTGAGGAAATATACGTGTGCCTTGTTCCCGTTGACGTTAAACAGTGTCTTCCAAGGAAAATCAATAAGCACTGGCGCCAGTCCCGTTTCCCAAAACAGATGCTTAGAAAAATAACAACACTTTGAAGAAGCACTGAATCATTGTCCTGAATGGGGACACCCTCATGTCATCGTCAGACTCAGTGACAGCTCCATTTTGATGAGATGAGTTCTCGACACTCCTTTGTTTGTACTTTTATTGTACTCCCCTATTCTTTGGCATTTCCGCCCAGCTGCTGCTAGGATCCTCAGCATATTGCCTGAGCTCCTTTTTCTTTCACATTATCGTGTATGTTGTGCTCGTTTAAATACGATTTACTTTTCCCTTTGTTCTCGTGTGACACAGTTTCTGTAACTCCTACTTGTTCCCCTGGCAATAACTCAATTTTATGAATGGCCCGTTGCCTTTATAATAAATATCTCTTCTGCCTAGAACAATTTGATTTATATCCAGTAATTATTTATCTAGCTTACATCAGTGGTGTTCATTAGGGAGCTCTAAGTTAGGCATTAACTAAATTATTAGCTTCCAGCAAGTCACAGAAGTAACTAGCTGGTGCGTACATGGCTATTTGTTAAAACAGTGCCAGCACTTTATAGAGACTCAATGTATATCTATCAATACTTGCTGAATACATACACAAATGACTGAAAGAATGGCAGGCCAATTTTTGGAAGTCAGCCTGAATTTAATATTGACATTATTAACTCATGTTATATCTAAAAAAAAAAAAAACCTGTCTTATAGCCACATTCATTTTCCTACATATTCTAGAATTCTTCGTCCTCCTCATTCTACACTTGTATTTAGAAGTGCTTGCTTCAGCACACGCGATCTCAACGTCAGATGGTATTGCTTTTCTTTACCAGGCAGAATTGAGAGCTAGGAACTGGATTTACTTCAGGTAATAACATAGAATTAAATCTATAATTGTCAGGTTATTCACATTTTCATGGTCTGCAATGCCCTATTTCTCACACCATAGAATAACCCAACCTCATATGCAAAGTTATATATCTGCCCGTTGCTGTTATTCATTTACTGATGACTGTCTTTAATCATTAACTAATATTTTTGATCACCAACTATCTTTAACATAATTACTGCAGTCAAGGAAGTTATTGTTCGTTCATTCATTCATTCATTCATTCAGCAAATATTTATTGAGTGACTACTATGTTCTGGGTGCTACACAGTGAATAATAAGACATTTTACATTATTTTGCATTATAGAACAATGACAAAAACAAACCAAAGCAAGTAATGTACGTGTAACCACTGAGTAACTTGACTAATGGATTCAGCAAATCTGAGTAGCCTCATTACCACCATGTCATAACTAGCCCACCGTCCATCCATAGAAATAATTTGCTTTCAAATAAATGTGGGTGAAATACATCATCATAAAAATCGTAATTACTATAGAAATATGTTCCTGCTAACAACCTCAAAAGAAAGATTTATTTTACTTCCAGAACTAAATGCCATTGTACGTTGTTTAGCGTTGCACGTCCAGTCTTCTTTCCACTTTCCAAACTGATGAGTAAGGGACACTGTGCACTTACATATTTGAGTGCCTTCTGTTCTGCACTGAGGGGGTCAGCAGTGAATAAAAGGAGCACAAATCCCTGCCTCTTTGGAGCTTACCTTCTACTAGTGAGAAACAGGAGAAAAACACCTAAGTGGATGAAGTGTACAACGTGTCAACTAAAGTGAAATGTTGGAGGGGCAAGGAGAGAGGGGTAGAGAGTCTTAATGGATGTCCTGATGGAGAGGTGACATTTGAGCTGTGAGCCTCGTGGACTGTGGGTGCATCGTGGGCTGGGCAGAGGCAATGGGTGAGGGCAAGCTGTGGGGCAGTGGCTCGTGTTAGAAGAACAAAGGAGACCCAGGCAACTCTCTCATGGAGTGGACGCGGGCAGGGCAGAACGAGGAGTCAGAGAGGCGACAGGAGCTCATCAAGCCCCTTGCTTGGACGTTAGAATTTACTTTTACCCCAGGTGATGAGGGGGCCTGTGGAGGCTTTTGAGTGGAGAGGTGACGTGATATGACATCCATTTAAAAAGATCCACTCTGGCTGCTCTGTTGAAAATACACAAAGGGGCGGGGGGAACTCTTAGGGGACACTGTCCCACTGTCCGGGCCAGACATGGTGCAGGTGGTGGGAAGTGGCCGACATGTGGGAGTATCTGGAAGGTCGACTTGTCAGTATTTGGTGTGGGATTGGATTGGGGG